GAACTCGCCCGTCGACCCCTGCGCCCGGCAAGCGCTGCGGAAGAAGCCGCCGGAGCGGACGCCTGAGGTAAGGCCGGCTGACCCTGGCGCGCGCCTTCAGTGCATCTGACGGCGTCCTCTTTCGGCCCGAAAACTGCGGCTTTGGTACCTGCCAGCGCCTAGCACCTGCTGCCGGGTATTTTCTCGGCGTTCTCTGGCCCCGACCCCAGCCCTGGGCGCGGGCGGGTCGGCGACCGCCTTTCCTGCCGGCCTCTGTCTTCCCCGCACACCCTCCTCGCCCGGGACTTCCTTGTGTCTACGCTGGGGAAGCACCATTTCTAAATACTGTGGTATTTTCCGAGTTGAGTAAAATGTGGGTTGGGGAGTGAATTTGCCATTTATTCAGGTAGACTGAAAAACGAGATAAAAATTGTAAGTGAACTGTAACCGCCGTGCGGTTATGAGATAACCTTACCCTGTGTGTTGCGTCCCGGAAATATTGTACAGTTACCCAACAAAAGTTAAGCTTTTCAAAGTCCATTTAAAATTTTGCATCCAGTCAGATGATAAATTCTGTGGTGGATGATGCATGTTTAAAGATCACTTCTGTGGGTACTTTTTCGGACGGTGGGAAAATTTTACAGTATTTTTTTCTTGGATGGAAAATCTGCTCTTTCAGGTTAGCAGTAATGCATTAGCTGGAAAAATTTTCATTTGACCTGAGGGTTAGTTTTCAGGCTAATAACAAAAATCTTCTAGTCTTGCATATCGTTACAGAGTAGTTAGATTTTTTTGAAAGGCTTTCCTTGGAGAACTTGCGGTAATTAGTGATACCTGTGCTAAACCAAAACCCAACAACATGAATGGATTTTCTTTTCTAACGTTGCAATAATTTAAATATTTTAATTCTTGCTAAAAGTCACTTTTGACTTTTAGCTTATAGTGTTTTGCATAGTAAGTCTAAATAACATTGGTTTCGTCTTTGAGACAATATTATTCAAGACATTATTGAAGCTAGGATAAGTAAAACTGTTGTTGGAGATCCTTATCTTCGGGCAGAAGCAAAGCAGATTTTAATACTTTCTAAAGTCCTTTTCTTGCATTTATGATTTCATGAATCTTAATTTTCCTTTGGTGAGTATTGAAATTGTTAACTAAGTGAAAGCAGTCACTTTGAACAGTTGACTTTTTCCATAGTTTTGATATCATTAAGAAGTGTTGTATAAGAATTACAATATATAATGTAGATTTTATGTTCAAAAATCAATTTTTTTAATTTTTGAGGCGGGGTCTCGTTATTGCAGTTCTGGCTGGCCTTTGAACTCACTGTGTACCCCAAGCTGGTTTAGAATTCGCAGTGATCCTCTTGCCCCAGCCTCTTGAGTGCTGGGATTACAAGCTTATTACTTTTGATAAATTCATATTTTAATGGGAAAATCCTCTTTAATAGTAGACTTACCTATTTTGGAATTGGTTGTTTTTGAGCTTAAGAAAATTTCTGAACTGTTCTTGAAGTTTCATGTTTGCTAGTGTGTGGAAAAATAATGTGTTACATACTTTATCTTGTGTTACTGGCAGGGCAGCATTGTTCAAGGGATTGCTAAATTGCCTGTAGTTCATAGAATAGAGCACTGACATTTACCAGTATAACACTTTAACTGCTTGATTCGTTGTCAGTGATTTTGAATGGGTGTAGTATTGTTCAGGTTACAAACCTATGAATAAGGAAGTGGTAACCTGCGTCCTGGTGATTTTTTTTTTAAGGTTTTTGGTTTTTTTGGTGTGATGATTTATTTTGATGTATAATTTCTTTTCTTTTTTTTTTGTTTTTTGGTGCTGTGGGGGTTTGAACTCATGACCTTGCACTTGCATGGCAGGTGGTGTTTGATGTATAATTTGATGAAAAAATTTTTTTATTTGATGAAATTTTTACACTTAAGTTTTCAGAAGGTCCTATGCTTTTAGTGGACTCCTAAGGGGTCTTTTATAAATACATTAATTCAGTAATTATTTATTGAGAGCCTACCTGTTCAAGGTACTGTTTTGTGCAGAAGGGAAGTATGTGAGTAAAACAATATGGTCCTAATGGCTCTTACATTCTAAGAGTTCCATGGTTCTTACATGGAGCAAGGCAGGGAGAAGCAAATGATAAGTATAATAAACAGTTTACATAATTCATTAGCTAGTAATTGCTATGGGGGGGAAGAGCAGGATGAGAGGAATTGGAAACAAGGAGCAAAACCTGTTTTAGTTTAAACATGCAGCTCCTATTGTCCTAGTTGAGTTGACTTTTGATTAAAGATACACACCTGGTAGACTTAGGTATAGAGTTATATATGAGGAAAGCTTTTTAAGCAGAGGGAACAGTAATTGCACAGACCCTATGATGAGAACATGTCTTGATACATTCCTGGAATAGTGAGAAACTCTTGGGTGATTAGAGAGTAGTGAATCAGGGTGAGAGTAGTAAGAAATTAAGTCAGAGAGGAAATAATGGTGATGTAGGTTAGGATATACTCTGTAGAATTTTCTAAGTCATTAGAAGTTCTTTGACTTATTTTTAGAGTAAAGGGGTGGGGTTTTAAAATACAGGAATGAAAATATCTTTCTTATCTTCAAGAAAAGAGTCTCCAGGCTGCTGTGTAGAGAGTAAATTGATGGAGAACAGGGGTAGAGGAAATGAGAGACTGTTGCATTAAATCATATGAGGCTCTCTTAACTCAAACTGAAGCGTTACTAATGAGAACTTAATTTTTGGAAATATTTTGATTTGCTTTGATGTGGCTGTGAGTGAAAGAGAAGAATCAAGCATAATTTCAAGGTTTTTTGCCTAAATAATTGGAGTGTTTTTCAAGAAGTTGGAGATCGCATCAAAGAGATGGGGAAAGAAGCTGGAGATCTAGCTCAGTAGTAGAGCACTTGCCTAGCATTCATGCGGCCCTGGAGTTTATGCTGTGACTTTTAATTCTGATGTATCAGCTTTAGATTAGGAAATACCTAGCAGGGCTGGCGATTTGGCTCAGTGGTGCCTGCCTGCCTGCCTGCCTGCCTGGGCAGGGGCCTGAGTTTGATCCCTGTTACCAAAAAAGCAAAACAAAACAAAACAAAAAAACAAAAAAACACCAAACCAAAAAATACCTAGCTGGATGTGGAATCAGAACTTCTGGCCCTTGGACTCAGGACTTCACAACAGTGAGCCCTAGTCCTCAGGCTTTCTGCCTTGAACCATGAGTTACACCATTGGCTTTGCTGGTTCTGATACCTGCTGGCTTTTGGATCAAGGTAGACTTCTGGCATTCTAGGATGCCAGTTTGTACCCTTAAGGTTCTCGGATTCTCAGCCACCATAATTATATGTGCTAGTTCTTCAGTAAATCTTTTTCATAAGCCTGTATCTAATTCTTACTGGCTTTGTCTCTGGAGAACCCTAACAGGTTTTGTACTGAGTAAGCCAGATATCATTCCTTCTTACCAAGTTTCTTACAACACGGTGGAAGAAATCTGAAATAGTTCCCTTGCAAAAAGGCTGTGATAACTTAAATATTCTTGGGATACTTAATAGTGAAAGATAAAAGTTTAAAAGCTAATATTATTGGTGGTTTTCACAGAAAATCATTTAATTGCAGCAATCAAGCAATAACCAGACTTTTGAATGGATGACATATACCTATAGACCAAAACTGTGGTGTCTTTAGGAATCTCCTATTAAACTACTGATTTTTATAATCAATAGAAATCACCATAGAGCATCGTGCTTACTTTCAAAAATTGCCCCCCAACCCCAGTCAGGGATCTTGCACTTGTGAAGCAGGTACAACACCACTGAGCTAAATCTCCTGCCCTAAAAACTGCCCTTTGTCAGTGAATAAAACCAATTTGACCATCTCAGTCACTTTCTGAATCAAAGACCTTGAAGATAAACAAGTAGAGGTTCTTCCAGTTTTATATAAAACATACCAAATGTTGAATTTGCCTTAGGGATTTGACTGTTGAAGAAGGTACAATTCTTATATTTACCACTAGCATGGAAAAAATTAGTGCATGCCTTACTTTGGCTAATGGATGGCACTTAATATTTTTTTAATCAAATACAGTACGTACAGTTTATGATCTTGATGGAGGTAAAGATTCTAGGATTTATCTGCTTTATGTATTGATGAGTGGAAGAAATGAAGCAATTTTTAAAGGTTCATTTGAAGACTTAGTAAACATTATTGAAGAAAGTGAGTTTCCATTGAATTCTCAAACCACATTGTGTGATTTGGAATTAAATGTGATTAAGACTTCTAAAAGTGAATTTGAAGATATTCCCAGTAAAGTTTGTTTTTTATTCAGCCCAGTGCATTTGACAGAAAATACAAATGAGTATATTGATCATGCAAAACAGAAGTGACGCAAACTTTGATTTAAATATGTGTCAGTTTTCTGTATTGGCTTTCCTTTCAGCTGTTGAAATCCTAGGAGCTTTCATTGTATAATGGTTGTATTTGCCCAGAGAAGCCAACACATCTACCAAGTGGGTTGAAAATAATTATGTGCAAAGAAGGATAAGAAGATATGCAAAATGTTGTTACTGTTCAGTCAGCCCACCAGTATTGTTTGCACCAGCTTGTGCTCTCTATATATATGAGTGTGTGCAAATTGGAAATTTTTTTTTTTTTTTTTAAGACAGGATCTCACTATGTAGTGCTGGCTGGCTTTGAATTCACAGTGAACCTTCTGCTTTGGCTTTCCAAGTGCTGGGATTACAGATGTGTGCACCACACCTGGCTCAGAATGGATTTCTGTGTACCATAGTAACATAGAGAATAATCAGCTTTATTGATGAGAATTAATAGAAAAATGTAAATAAATGTCTTTTAAACAGCAACAACTATTCCCTTCTTTCCTGATATGGAATTAATATGAGAAAATGAAAAAAAGGAAACAAAGTCTTTGTAGATAGGGAGGGCTGGAGGGGTTGAAGGGAGGGCAGGGAATGGGGAAAAAATAAGCAACAAGATGGATTATGTAACGGTGTAAGTTTCCAATGATGAATGTCATATATTGTGTACTTTTTTTTGTTTTGTTTTGTTTTTTGTTTGTTTTTTGAGACAGGTTCTCACTATGTAGTTGAGACTGACCTGGAACTCACTATATAGCCCAGACTGGTCTTGAACTCACAATGATCCTCCTGCCTCAGCCTCCCAAGTGCTGGGATTACAAGCATGCACCACCATTCCCGGCTTCATATATTGTATACCTTAAATGTACCAATAAAATTAATTCAAAAAACCCAAAACAGTAACCACAAAGAAGAATGCCTAGTAGATTAGTAAAGCATGCATGCCCTGGGCT